ATATAACTATAACTGTGTGCCAGTAGACATAAGTCGTCGGCGTACTAGAGATCACTCTGCCTCTGCCAAGACTACGTCCAGGACGATATTAAACAGCAATGGCGACATTGCGTAACCCTGTCAAACGCCGGTTTTTATAAGTATTTTCTTGATTAGATATTTCTTGTGCAGTACCCGATAACTGGCATCCTCGTACAGGGCTTTGATGATCTTGATGATCTTTTGCGGCATGCCCTCATTAGCAAGCGCGTTCTAAATGACGGTGTGACATAATGTATTTAATGGATTTTTTGAAGTCTATAAATAATAAATAAAGAGGTGATGTCCACTCCACGGACTTTGCAACAATAATTCTTATGCTGTTTATGTGATCAATATAATACTTGTCTGTTCGGAATCCAGTTTGTTCTCTATATAGCATTGCTGTTAATGCTGTTGAAAATTTTCTGATGATGACATGCGTTATTATTTTTTTAATCATGTTCAGCAGAGTTATGCCTCGCCAATTAGTTCTTTCTGTTAAGTCGCCTTTTCTTGGGAGCTTTGTGATGATACAGCCTTTGACTTCTAATGAAAGGTTCTCTGACAAAAACGTTCTATTAATGGGTGGATAATATGGATGATTATGTCTGGGTCAACATTCAGTAGTTTCGGTGCTAAACCATCGCACCCGGATGCTTTACCGTTCTTTAATGTTTTTATTACAATTATAATCTCCTCGATGTTAGGGCAGAAGGTGGAAATGTTGCTACTTTCAAAATGTCTGTCGCAGTCGCAGTAAAATTGAACCTCGGAACGCTTGTTAGTTAGCATATTACTATAAAATTGGGACCAGACCTTCATCTATTTACATTGGTCAGTAACCAGTACCCCATTTTCGTGATTCAACGGCTTACTGCTTCTGGTGTTATTTTCAGTAAGCTTTCTAGTAGCTTTCTAGATATCACCACTTGTATATAGTTCAGCTGCCGTTTGAGCTTCATTGCACCACTGCATGTCGAGCTCTGTGCGGAAATATTGTCCCTTCTACAACCAAATTGTTCGTTGCGCACTTTCCTGTAAATCTCGAACTGTTTTCTGTTTTTCCATCGATGCCAAATTTGCCCATACAGCTTTCTGGGGCCGTGTTTTCTGCCACAACTTGGACGTTATAGTCCCCGATGACAATTAGCACATCACTTTGCTGAACACATGAAGTAGATCTATCAAGGGTGTTGTAAAACTTATTTTTGATGGAAGAGTCCGCATCATCGGTAGGTGCGTACCTTTTAGCAAGATAGATTTCCAGCTCGGGTTCATAATCTTATAAAAATGACATTGTCTGAGAAAGCCTGCCAGCTCATCAGAACTTTGCGGGTTTCTTTTGAGAGCAAAATCCCGACTTCATTTCTTCGCGTCTGGTTTAATCCACTAGCAGAGAAAATTATGGTGTGCCTGTCTGCTGTTGTTTGGTCACCAGTGCCAGTCCAACGTACTTCGGAAAGGCCTAAGAAGTTAAGTTTGTAGTTATGAAATTCGTTGCACAGCTGCTCAAGTCGTTCCAGTACTCCTTTTGAAGGTATACGAGCACCACCATTGACCAGTTACTGTTCCCCCGCCACGATCTCTTTTGCAGACTCATGTCTAAGCATGCAACGCTATCCGCAACATACAACCTCAACATATTCAGTGGGTAGCTTGTGGGTAGAAGTTTATAAGAAAGTGACCTTCCGCCGATTAGTCTAATCGGTCTTCGCTGTTTAATCGGTCATCAGTCTCTCTTATGTTTAGAGTACACAGTCTTGTTATATAACCAAGTCATTAAACCAATCTAGATATATGGCTTACATCTATATGGCAATGTCTGTTCGTCAAATGTAGAAATTCTGCAAAGAGCTCAAGCAAAGATCTTCAGAATGATAACTAGTACACCCTGGTATATCAGAAATGAAAACACACATTTCGATTTAAAAGCTCCAGTGATTAAAGTCGATTTCGAGAAAATAAGGCAGAAACATATATCAAATCTTATAAACCATGTGAAACCGCTGGCTAGACCTCTTGCTAATACGACAACTTCCTCTAGAGTAAAACGGAATGATAGACCTGCCATCCTGCTTTCCTAAAGATCATCTTCATTAATGTAACTTGTACGCCGTGATATCTGGTAAATAAACTCTGACTACTTATTCAGAAGCCCATTGAAATAATTTACAAATCATTATATATATCATTATAGTATGTTTATATAAAATAATTTGTAATGTGATGTTATTAGTCTTTAAGATTCTATAACTTATAGTTAGGCTTTAATTTAAAAAGATTCAATAAAGATATATTGTTAAATAGAACAAAAAAAAATCCTCATTCCGACTATATTAAAGTAACTGAAACTTCAACTGAAATTAAGTTAAAAGCACTTCTCGACCATACTGTGGAGAGTCTACTACTACTACAAAATTTTGTTATTGTTACTTTATGGGAAGCAGAATCAGCAAATTTTTTTTATGTTTGGTATAATATGCCTCCTACGCTACATCATCATACTTCATAAATACTTCGCACGCTATGTTACCAATAGGCCGATTATCGGAAGAAGCGCAAGAAGCTCTTAACAAAGAATTTAAAAAATATAAAGAACATTTCACAGGTAAATGTAGCAGAGAAAAGACCAATTACGATATTTTGAATAGGCTTCTTATTAGTTCTGACCCTGTTATTTCAAGCTTTAGAAAACTTAATGAAAAAAGTTTCAACATATAAGTTTCAACATATATTAGTGTGTAAAACACACTAATTCCCAACCTATCAGTGATGATGATGATGATGATGATGATGATGATAATGATCATGATCATGGTGATGATAATGATGATTATGATGGTCACGCTGATGGTGATGATGCTGAAAAGATTGATTATATTTTATAATGTATATATGACAAACAACAATAAAAAATTTGTTTTTTTATATTCTACCTTCTCCCTACATATATAAAAATAGTCAATAATCAGCTTTTCAACTTAGGCGAATTGACCATTTTCAGGGTCGTTTACCCCACTGTGCGACTGATTGGTCCGCGGAGATGTTTTATTTCTCTCCTACCGCCCGATAACGGGAAAGGCAACCGTTATCCACCACCTGCAACGCGCTTCCTTCGAGGAAAAATATAATAATGAGGCATAATTAATCAACACGGAAATTCTGGCAACGATCTTTTAGCTCAGCACATTTAAAAATCGTTCGTAAGGTCGATTTCAAAATCTTTCATGTTTTAGCAGCGGTTTGTTTAAAGACTGTAAGCCCTTTCCAATCTTTCAAAAGAACGAATGAAAGATCTGCGCAGATCTTCCATTGTCAGATACTCGTAAGATTTTGTTTGTGTTTTTCGTGTATAAAATATTTTTAAATAAAATAAAATACGTAAAAATGATACAATTATTTTAATTTCATTCTTAATATAAAGCAAATGTAAATTTATTGATGTACTTACTGTCTTTATAAGAATTTTAAAATACGTCTGTTAAATAGTTACATGTTATAGACATATTTTTTAAATATTAAAACTTAAATATTTATTTATTCGTTTATTTATATATAGCTAAGCTATAATTTTAAAACTAAATTTTTTTTTACTACTGCTGTTATGAATGTAACTGAAGCTACTACCAATTCTTTCGTGACATAAATTAAATTCGGTATATAGTTATTTATGCATAAATAATAATTATGTAACATATGTTACAACTTGCTCATTTTCATCACATTTGCATTAAAATTCAATTATTTACTTGCATGCGGTAGCGATTAGCTGCTGTTTTCGATTTCACCACGAAAGAAATAGAACAAAACAGCTTTCTACCACATGTGATAAAATGATAAATTTTTTTTGAAAAACTTTTGTGCCAGAACAGCAAAAGTCTTAGTCTTTTGTTCGATCTTTCTAAAATCTTACGAAAGGCTTTTAACGATCTTTGCCAGAAAATCTGTGTAATATTTATCATTTTGAAATAAAATATTAAAATAATGTGATCTAAAACCTGAATTATATTCACAAACTAATTTCTCTATTAGATACTAACTTCTCCCAGAAATGTATATTTTAAGCAGCATGTATATAAGTATATGCAACATAATATAAAAGAACTTTTATTTATACAAATACGGTGCAGTTTTTTTCTTTGCCAAAAAATACTTTCTTGACCAATTGTATATTTACATATAACAATAATTATTAAATCACTACTGATTTTAGCTTATATATTCTTTACGCTGTGGCGAATCTGACGAGTCATCAAGAAAGCATCAAAAAGGAAATCAACAAGCTCAAATATGGAAGAGTTCACGCTCAGGAAGAGTTCAAACGAAATACCCCACGCAGCGTTAGAGTGGAATCCACAGGGCCGGCGAGGAAGAAGTAGGCCGAAAAATACTTGGCGCAGAACTGTCACAAGCAAAACAAGGAAATCTTTTAGCGAGCTTAGAGCAATAGCTCTAATAGCTCGGCAGCGTAATAACTGGAAAGCATTTGTAAATTCTAAAATATAAATTTCATGTACATAAAATGTTCTTTGTAATTAGACTAAATTTATAATTTTGTTGAAATATATATATCTCTTAATAATAATAATATTCTTTATTTATATTTGTATGTATATTTGTATAGCAAATTTAAAATAGATGCTTAAATTGAAGTAAAACTCATACAAATCATGCATTTATTTAATCATTAAGAATAAATTATAAATGCAATGAATTTTTTAATAGAAACAGTTTATACTATTTCTTTTAATAATTACATGCTAATATGCAACCGCGAATATACTAAACATTTTGATTATCAGCCACATCAATATTAATATTTGTCAATTCTGGTATGGTGAATAGGTAAGAGAATTTTATTTGCGGTGGTGTTACACAAAGAGGCACAATTAGTCTAAATTTCTTTCCAGTTTTGTTTATGTATATTATGTGGTTACGTCTTATTGTACTATGTGGCATCACATTTTTTATATGAAGTTGAGGCGTCGGTATTGTCAATTAAGGGTTGTTTTAAAAATAAAGTGTAATGGACTTTAAATATTCCTTTATTTACACATTTTATTTGAAACGTTCAATACTCAGAAGTTCAATAAATTAATAAAAATATGAATAATCTACAAAAACAAGATATGCAGGAAATGTGCTCCGATTTCCTTAAAATGAATTTTTCCTGTCAAGAGGATTTGATTTCAAACCCAAAGTCTGTTTGTGAAAAAGTTACTGAAATTTCTAGTAACTTAGAAGAACATAACAAACCACTGAGAAAGGTTGGACCTCTTGTACCACCAAAGCCATACAAGTTTACCCAAATATTGCCCCAGGTTTTTATATATTTATTTCTTGCTGGGAGATGTAAGATTTTATGTTTTTTAGTTGGGCATTTCATATATGATTTATCTAACAAGTGCTTCAAATTTTATTTTAAACATTCGTTTAAATGTGCATTCATTAAATAGTTTTGATATCCAATTAGTTACTGCATAAAACTAAATATCTAAGTAAATATTGCTAATTTTTATTTAAGGTGCCACAAAGCAGTCTTGTAAAGCAGTCATGTGAACCCTTATATTCTCAGAGGTTACGAGTAATGAATTGTGACAACAAACAACCATGCGAAGCGTTTGGTTTGAAACCTACGCAAACTTTACTTCCTCAGCCTATATTACAACGGAAGCATTTAAATGTAAATCAGAATTGCAAAGTTACGTTGGATAATCCTCTTGTTCTTGAGCAGCAGTTGGAAGCACTAGCACATCATAAAAAACAGTTGGAAAAGAAAGGGTTACTGCTTCAAAAAGAATTTTATACACCTATACCGAAATTATCATTAACTTCTCTAATTAATGATCGTTGTGTGCCAAAGAAGCACTCAAGTTGTGTATACGCTAATACAAACCCAACAAAAGAGGTTTCTTTCAGTAATGCATTTCAAGAAACCAATATATATAAAGATGTAAATGAAATGAATATTCTTGGTGATAGTGCAATTGATGTACCAAATAATACAATTAGTAACATATACACAAGCAAATTGATGGGAAAGGAAACACAAGGTATGTGTAATGGGTGAGCTGCAAAGTTTTAAGTCTGATATATAAAAACATGCTATTTAAGTTTCGATTTTATACCTCAATATATTTTGCAGCACAAGTACAATCCAAAGTTTTTTTAGGATAGATAAACAGTTTTCGCCATTTGGCCATTGTTTTTATATCTTTTAAAAACACTAATAACGGCATACACTTAATCGATATGGCCAGTTTTCAATCAATTGTTGACACAGTTTACTGCGAAGAGCTAGTAACCTGTTCCATAAAGATAATCCTGTATTGCACTATACATTATTTTATGCTTTGGTACTTTTGATCGACTGAGATAAAAATAACTTGATAATAGTGTTAATCACATTAATATGAATATAGGAATATAAACCACATATTATTTCCATGTTTTTACGTTATCATCTATATCTTGCAATTTTATTTTTCGTGGGTAAATAATTATTTTAGGAATTGGTCAATAAACAAATAGCAATTGGCGCAGATAAACTGTATCAAACATTTTTGCTTAGTAGTACTTTTTAAGCTTTTTATCCACTGTTTTGGATTTTATTTACCTATTACCGCAAGTAATGAATTAATAATTGAAATGTCCTAAAAATAATTAATCTTATGAATGTTTGATAGTTTTAAATGGTGAAAATAGATACAGATTCGTAAGAAACGCCACTTTTATGTCAAGTCAAAAGTTTTGCAGCCCTTATATTATGTGAATATTTTTCAATAGTTACATTTACTAAGTTTTATTTTTTTTTTTTAGATCAAGTCCTACCTCTATCAAATTCAGTTGAAATTGACACTGCGGTTAATAGATGTAATGATAGTAAGGATAATAATCAAGATGTACCACAACCATTGAGCCCTGTGAGTTCATCTTATAGTGAACTACGTCGAACTATGAAGACTTTTAATGATAAACCAAGTTCATCGCAAAAAAACTTGAATACAGAGGTAGAAAACACGTTTTTTCCATATGAATCAGCCAGTGGCAGTAACGATACTGTTAATAAAGCAAACCATTTTAATAATTGCCAAACATACCAAAATGTTTATTGCAACAAAAATTTTACCAAATCTAATCTTACTTTGCAGGTATATTAATATTATTAATTCACAAATTTTATAAAAATATGGAAAATTTATTCTTATTTATTAAGACAAGCAGTCAAGAATCTTCAGATTATTATGGATATGATAGCCTTTCACAGGTAAGCAATTCAAAAAAATCTTACGAAAATAATATTTAAATATCATTTATGAATATAATTAAGTCAAACGCTGAACATGTCAGTATAATGCGGATTCATTTAGATTTCGTATTATTTTATATTATATTTAATTAGTTTTATGTAAATTTATAGAATCCATTGAAAACTAACAACAAATTAGCAGATTTTATTTCTTGTACCAGAAAATATTATTATTATCACTAATTATAACTGTTGTAAAGTATTAAGTGCTGTTCATATTATTCGGATTTTTTTAAAAACCTAAATTCTCCGATTATTCGATTAATCGGATTTCAGCGAAGTATTCGAAATGTGAAATAAAATTCGAATATCCGGATTTACAGTTTTTATTCACAGTGAAATTATTCGAAGACTTTGTGAGCAAAAGTTAAAGTGAAAGCACAAAATGCAAATAAGCGTGCATCACACAAGTTGTTTGAGGGATGATAGAATTGTTTGTACGATTTTGTGTTTTTTTCGGTATTTTATGCAGAAAATTATATGTGTGTTAGACGGATTCGAAAAGCAAAGAAAAGACAAGGGCAAAAATTTATTTTAATTTATTAAAATTTGGCTGACCATACAACGCTGCTTCGAGTTTGCCAAGTACTCATCATCAGTGGTCTTAGGAAGTAATCGAATTTTATTTAATTAGTTTATAGTCCATATATGATTTGTTTGGACTGCAAGTGCCAGGCTTAAAACACGTGCCTGTCAAATTTAAAGCGTTGAATAATAGTAGAAATGTTAAATGTTGCACAACAAACAATTTCTGACCGTTTAAAAGCTATGGGAAAGATCCAAAAGTGTGGAAAATGGGTGCCACATGAATTGAATGAAAGACAGATGGAAAACCGAAAAAACACTTGTGAAATTTTGCTTCAAAGACACGATGCAAAACCGATCGGTTTTGCATCGGATTGTTACTGGCGATGAAAAATGGATTTATTTTAAGAATCCTAAACAGAAAAAATCATGTGTTAATCCGGGACAATCATCAACATCGACTGCAAAACCAGATCGATTCGGCAAGAAGACAATGCTGTGTGCTTGGTGGGACCAGAAAGGTGTGTTGTACCTAAAAACCTGGTGATGATAAATTTGAACCATGCATTGATCGAGAAACGACCAGAATGGGCCAGAAGACACGGCAAGGTAGTTCTGCTCCATGACAATGCACCTGCACACAAAGCAAAACGGGTTCAGGATGCAATCAAAACACTTGGCTGGGAGCTGCTACCCCACCCGCCGTATTCACCAGAATTGGCTCCTTCCGACTACCATTTGTTTTCATCGATGGGACACGCATTGGCTGAGCAGCACTTTGATTCCTACGAGGAGGTCGAAAATTGGGTGTCTGGTTGGTTTGCTTTAAAAGACGAACAATTTTTTTGGCGTGGTATCCACAAATTGCCAGAAAGGTGGTCAAAATGTGTAGAAAGCAATGGTCAATGCTTTGAATAAAATGTTTTTTACTTTCCTATTAATAATTAGTGTTTTATTTTTACCAAAAAACGCTCATTTCATACCGGTACACCTAATATAATATCTAAATTGCTGGTTAGCAAAGCTTTGTATAACAAAATCTGGAATCTTGGAAAATACGCTAAGCATTATAGCAAAATTATAGAAGTAGGCAGACATGTAATTTGCCTTTGTGAAAAAAGTCGTGAATTTTGAAAAAAAACACACACTGCAGTTGTTTTTTGTGATGGCACAAGGCGGTAGCATTCCTATTCTATTCTATTCAAAGTTTAGAGTTTGATTTTTAATTGGTTTTTACTTTGGGCTTCGAATTGGGACCATATATTCTTTTATCACCCTGAGTTGAATTTTGTGATTTTCCTTTAGTATTTCCAATAAACATTTAATTGCTGATAATATTAATTTAATTAATATTAGTCTTCTATTTAGCAGTCTTCTATTTAGTGGTATTATTTACATTTTTCAGATTAGAATTTCACATAAATAACATAAACATATATTATTATTGTTAATTTTTTTTTTTTGCCGACAGTGGCGCGTCTTATGACAAATACAAACTAATTAAAAGTTAGAAGTGTTCGAATGTCAATAAACAGACAACAACTGTTGTCGTGGTTCCAAGAACATTCGGGTCTACGTCCCGGAACCACTTGTCACCAACGACGACCAAGTACCATAAGATACAATACCCGGCCGTCTTGCTTCTTATGTTACTTCTAATGGTCGATATTGAACATAATCCTGGTCCTGTCTGAACTTCTACCTCAACTTGGCATTGTTCTCTCCGCCGCAGAAATCAAACATCTGTGAAGTGCAACAGTTGCAATAACTGGTTCCACCTCAATAATTGTTCAGGTTTGCATAGTCACACTGATTAGAATCCTGCTTTTAGAGGAGTTTTCTGTCCTTCAATTCTTCTATGTAGACAATCCCCATCTTCGTTTACCTCTGGCAGTCCTTTTCCAATCAATGCTACCCATCTTCTTCCTCCGGCATTATATACTTCTCCCACCACTTTGTTATATACTGTGTAAAAGGGCTATCTCTAGGAACACTATCTCTGTCCGATATAATTCTTGCAATGGCTGGTGTCATCGTAGGCCTTGCTCCGAATGGAGCTCTCATCATGGTTGGAATTCAAATTTCATTGGCAGTTGCTGCCAAAATCCACCAATTATTCTGCCACAAAATCGCTTACACCCGCAACGCACTAGCGTAGTCTCCGCCAGCAACAGTTCTTCCCCTCTCAAAATCCTAAAGTTTAACTGCAATGGTCTAAGAGGGAAACTGTTTGAAATTACAGCATTCATGTCCTCCAATAATATTGCAGTAGCTGCACTCTAGGAGACTGATCTACTAATCAACTCCCCTCTCTCACCCCCCTCAATTTTACCCTTATTCGTGAGAACCGTCCAAGGGGCGCAGGACACCTTTTTGCTTTTCTGTTACGGAATTCTACATTTCATTGTGAGCTTATAGGGAGGTGTGGAGGTTATAGGGTTAAACATTTTCATTGGTAGGTCATCAAGATTCCTTGAACTAGTTAATATTTACCTGCCACCCAACTCTAGCTGCCCTCTGAAGCACAGTTCTAATATTTTACATCTTCTTGTTGGGGATTCGCGTTTTGTATTTGGTGATTTGAATGCACACCATTCCTTGTGGTTTTCCAATCTAACAACTGATCAGAGAGGCCTGCAATTGCCTTCCCAAATCGACGAATCCTATTTTGGTGTTCTAAATTGGAGTGTTGATATAGCTCTAAGCTCAGATCACACTCCCATCACAATTTTTATTTCATCCATCGAGGTCCTTCTCGAGGGTGACAGGAAAACCTACAGGAATTTCAAAGAAACGAACTGCATGCCTTTTAAGGATGTCTCTGAACGTGAGTTTAGCAGCATCAGGATCCCCACTACCACCAAACCTAAAATCCGGGGTGTCGTACTCAATAGTATACTAACCTCTTCTGCACATGTCTTTGCTATGTGTGGTCGCTTGAAATGTCGTAATAATGTGTTAATAACGATCGCAGGTTGTTCATTGGCAAAGAAAAAAACTTTACTAGCTACCATCGCATGACACATGCTGACCATCTTACCTGCGTGCTTGTCACACAGATGTATATCCCAATGGCGGCATGGCCAGTAGAACCCTTCGTCCAAGATATATTTCTTGATCCCTCTCTTCCTATCATAGATACATCGACACCCTTTGCAATGGAGCTAACATTAGTGAGGGCGAATACAAGCATACTCGCTTCCACACAGATGCAAAGTTCTCTTCGAGACCAATGTTGTTAGGCAACAATGTTATCAACAGGCCTCGGCCTAACATCTCCCTCGAAGAACCACATTTCCGCAGCTAACCCAATCAGTGGCTTGCTGTCGCCAGTTGGTAGAATCGAGCGTCTCCGAATCGTTGGTTGCTCGAACCTTCCATCGAATATTCAGACGTCATCTTCGGTACTCGCCTTTTTTAACCTGCGGGTGCTGATGCACCTTTTTAGTCGGAGTACTATCTTCCATTCGCACGACATGCTGAAACTAGCAAAGCCGCTACATTTTTACACTCTTAACTATGTCAATGTCGCTTGGAGTACCAGACATTTGTTATTACTGTATATTTTATTATTTTTCAAAATAAGGTAGTGATGCAAAAATTATTTGATTGAATAATTAAATTTCTTATTTTTATTAGGGGTATTCAGGCAACTGATTATTTGCTTAGTAGATGATTACAACAAAAATTTGCATACAAAAAAGAAACTAAGCAGAGAATCTACTATTTCGGAGATTCTCAGATTAGTAAAAATTTGATTAATAGTGCTAATTAAAAAGTATAAATTGAATATTCTACTTCTTGATATATGACAAGTTTGCAATTTTAATTATATGATAAATTTAAATGATATTAAAATTTACGAATATTTGAGTATTTCACTGTTAACATATGTTTCGCTTTTGCTGTTATTCGAATATTCGTATTTCAACGAAGTTGGAAAAACATTCGAATTTTTTGTAAATTTTTGTTCTCGAAGTCTTCGAAGTTTAAGTGCAGTAAAAAACTTCGAAGACTTCGTAAGCAAAAGGTAAATGAGAGCGCAAAATGCAAACAAACATGCATCACACAAATTATTTGAGGGATGAAAGCATTTGCTTTGTTTGTACAGTGTTGTTTTTTTTGGTATTCTATGCGGAAAATAAAAAACATGTTTTTTTTGTTTTATTTTATTACACAAAATTTATTTTATTATTATTATGTTATTATTAAACATATTAAATATTATTAAATATTATTTATATTAAATAAATAATTTGCATTTTAAATAACTTATATTTATTTTTTATATTTAAAAAATATTTGTGAAAATATTTAAAATAACATAAAATACATGAAAATTTGATGGAATTAATATATTGTTTTTGCTATTTTATTTGTAATGGAAATTTAAATTAATTTTTAAATTAAAACTTTTAAAATTAGTTATGAAAAAAAAACAAATTACATTAAAAATTAATCATGGGACAGAAAAGCTTTATTGTGATTTACAAAAAGGTTTGTTTCCACATTTACTGGGGCAAGACAACTGCGATGAGGAGTTACAATATTTCCAGCAGTTGAAAATACTCTTTCTGATGCTACAGATGTTGCAGGTATACAAAGGTATTTTTTAGCCAACTGTGCCATTATAGGAAACTGTTTTTCATGGGCTTTCCACCAGTCAAAAGGATCCAAATTGATATTGATTTCTGGTTCTGCCAAATATGCATTGAATTGTTGCGAATTCGTGGTGGGATGTGTAGTTGAATTTTTATTAAATAAAAAATCTAATGCGCTTGGCGATGGTGCTTCTACATTTAAATCGTTCTCTATTCCAAAAATTGTCTTGACTTCATCGTGAATGGCTTCCCGGATGGCACATCTTTGTGGAACAGTTTCAGGCAGGAGGTCCTTGTGTCGCGGATCTAAGAATGATGCTTTTTGAGATATCAGCACCGTATTAGAATTAAGATTAAATCTTTTAATTAAGTCTTCTGCTAATTTGTTGGAAAAATCTGGCCATGTATTTCTTTCATTTCTTAAATGATTTTCTATTATTGCACTTATAATTGGACGCACCATCGATGCTGAAGCACCACTGGAAAGCACAGTTGTCGCAACTTCTAATGGTTTCAGAAGTTGTATTAGTTTTTCAAAAAGACTCCAATCTTCTTCGCGCATTTCTAAGAGTTGTGCTTGGTTTGGAGTTGTAACGGACCTGTCACTAATAACAGCAATAATGGCAGTGCGATTTTCGATTAATCGTTCAATCATTTGGAGATCTGCATTCCACCTGGAACTAATGCTTTGAAGCAGTTTTTGTTTGGGGAGTCCAAGCTGTTCCTGTGTTATTTCTAATGCACGTGAAGCATTAACACAGTGATGAAAATGACTAACCATTTTACTGCCTTTATTAATGGCTTCAGTTATTTCTTGAGATTTCAATGTACTTTTCACAGCTAGATTAATGTTATGTGCTGCACATCTGCTATCATTTGGAATTTCGCTAGTAATTTTCACTGCCGCTACAATGTTGCTCGCATTATCATTAACAACACATACAATTTTATTCTGTAATTCCCACTGTTCGATTGTCGCAGTCAAATATCGTGACAAATTTTCAGCTGTATGCCTTTCAATTACTGGTTGCGTGCTTAGTGTTAATATGTTAAGCTTCCACTTATCATCAATTAAGTGAGCATTTATGTTAATATATGCGTTCATCGCTGAAGAAGTCCAGCAGTCTGTGTCAAGTGCAACGGATTTCGATTTCACAAGTTTTGATTTCATTTTGCTCCGAATTTCGTTTTCCAGAAAGCTTAAACGTCGAACAATAGTTTGGCTGCTAGGGCATGTATATCCAGGCTCAACTATAGACATAAATTCCTTAAATTCCGAACTTGATGCAAAGTTGTATGGAAGTCGCCTGCAAGCTATTAATGTAGTTAAAGATTGTGTGATTTTTTCGGCACGATCCTTGCTAATTGTCTTGTGACACAATTTAACACGCTTGCTTTTTTTTTGAGGCGTAGAAGATGGTAAAGATGACGATGTAGTTTCACTTTCATCTACATTTTCACTGCTAAATGATATTAAAAGAAAATAATTACTATTTCTACATATGAATTTAATATATGTAATTTATTTACCTATTTCCGGTTGAATTACTCCATTCGCTTTCGTCTGCAAGATTAATATTATGAATTTTTTTCAGATGCGCAATCAATGTGCTCGTAGAATTTTGCGTGCACAGAATTGCATCACAAATATTACAAGTTGCGGATAAATTGTCCATTGCCTTCGAAAAATATTCCCAAACCCAGCTTTTCATTGTAGAACACATTTATTTTATAAATTTATAAGGAAACAAAAAAGTGCTCTGAGTAAAACGTACAAACTCGCCTTATGTATTTCTTAAAACTAAATATTAATTCAAATATTCATTTCTTTTATACAATTTTGCTTATGCACTAATTTACATGTTATTTAGATACTTCCTTATAATATTATGTATTTCTTTTCCTAGAATAAAGGATTTAAAAATTTTCCATAACCAGTAAAATAACTGCAACAACAACAAAAAATCAAAATTTTATAATGCAAAAATAAATTTGCGCTTACCTGCGTGATCATCACAGCTCATACAGGCCAAATAATTATGCATTAATGAGTAAAACTTATTTTTTCATAACTAATTTTCAAGGTTTTAATTTGTGATTTTCTTTTTTAAAGGAAAATGAAAATTTTTATAAAACGCCATTACTAATAAAATCCATCAAAAAATATCAACATTTTCATATTCTTACGTATATATTTTATATTATATTAAAAATTTTCACAAATATGATTTTTTAAATATAAAAAATAAATATAAGTTATTTAAAATGTAAATTTTTTATTTAATATAAATAATATTTAATAATAATATATATAATAATACATTTTTAATAATAAAATAAATTTTATGTAATAAAATAAAACAAAAAACATGTTTTTAATTTTCTGCATAGAATACCAAAAAAAACATAAATCCGTACAAATAAAGCAAATGCCTTCATCCCTCAAATAATTTGTGTGATGCACGTTTGTTTGCATTTTGCGCTCTTACTTTACCTTTTGCTTACGAAGTCTTTGAAGTTTTTCACTGCACTTAAACTTCGAAGACTTCGAGAACAAAAATTTACAAAAAATTCGAATGTTTTTCCAACTTCGAAGACTTCGTTTGCTATTCGAATATTCGAATACTTCGTAAATTCGAATACTTCGTAAATTCGAATACTTCGTAAATTCGAATACTTCGTAAATTCGAATACTTCGTAAATTCGAATACGAACAGCACTACTGAATACCCCTATTATTAATTGTTAACTATTATACACATAATATATATAAGAGCATTTTCTTTATACGTTGTAACTAGTGCACACTGTAAAAATAAGTTTATATTTTATTAAATGTCGTTAGATTTTTGTATTAATAAATAAAACAACTTTCCGTTTTGCTCGTCATGTTAAGACTGTCTTTTATTTAAATATCTTTCTTAAACCTAACATAGTTTCTTACAACTAATTTCCAATAGAATCTTATGTAATGATTCTATTGGTTGATACTTATATTACTATCGTCTAATTGGTTAACCCAAATTAGACGTATATAATGTTTTACAAAAATAACTTATATACATTTTTTTTTAGTTATATTATATTTCACAGTGGCACACATCTGGTAACCAACTGTATTGAGGGCAAATCATATTGCATGCACGATCGCTTGCAATATGATCTGTGAAACACTTAATACAAATTCATGTGCTGAGCATGCCGTAATCCAAATTGTCAAATGCATATTAGAACAATTAAATATGCATACAAATATTTTGTCATAAAGGAATGACAAAATAGACGAGTCAAATTTCTGACTCATAAATTATTTCATACATGACAATTTAGGTTTTTCGGTCATGCTTGATATTTGAGTGTTTCGATTTGGTGTGACACATTAAATATCGCACACAACGTATTGTGTGTGGTCATGGTTAATATGACACTACAACACCATGGCAATAATAATCTGCTAGTAGAGTAGCTAGTGTTGCCAGATCCAACAGCTCATACCACATTTGGCTTGGTTGTTGAATATGTGGGGTGCGTTGTGGCCATACTAAATAATTTTTAGTATTAATTAACTTATTACAGAGACTAGCCATAGCCATAGAGCAGATCTAGATAATGTGACAATAACAGATAGGGAAAAAAACCATAACAATAGAATAACTTTAAAAAACCTCCACATACTAAAAAACGTAGACAGAACCATGAATAGAAAGGAAGATAGTGGCAACATCAGCATCAGCTACATCCTACTATAACAATAAATATTATCCTGATTAATAATCTCTATAGTATATTTTTTGCTTATCGTTAACTAAATAATAAACAAGAACTAACTTTGTAAAATGATTTCAATATAAATAATACCCTTATATGTTTTCCAAGGACAATTGTAATAATACTCTACCCTTAGGAAGAAGTCAAATGACCTTCGAAACGTCGGCGATATTTATATAAATGAATATATAAAAATAAAAATAAAAACTTAATTTCAAGCTTATCTTTATATATGTCAATAAAAAAGCTTTGTTTAAAAGAAGAAATTATAAAAATATTAATTTTAAATTTATAATTACTTATGTAACACCTGCTATTGTTTATACTGTAGACTTCTTCAACATATGAATCTATATATGAACCAATACATCCACGACCATCAAGTCAGCTTTCAACACGTTCAAATTATATGTTATATGGACCGTATGTTAATCATGATCAGCTACAGGACGCTCATACAGCTATTGGCGGTTTGACCTTATTAGAAACTAGCAGCAGTCATAATAATTTCAATTTAAGCAAAGAAAATACTATACAATATTGTAATACTATTAGTAAGCTTGGTGAAGGTTTACTTGAAAATGAAAAGGAAAGTGAAGTAGAAGACTTAACCGGATTCCTCGTACATAACGTGGACTCATCTAGTAACATTGATAGTTATGGTAATGGTAATGTATTTATATTATTATTTGTATATTTATAAATTTAAAATAGAAAAAAGTCTGAACCCTAAGAACTATGATTTTTTTTTTGTTTTTTTGTTTTTTGTTTTTTTTTTGTGCTTGAATATAAATTTTAGAAATATACCATCGCTTAGTGACAATATAAATTTCATTGTACACTATTGATTGGGTTTCCATATCGACGAAATGAATTATAAAATGTTATTCTTTTATTATATAATTTTTAATCCAACAATTAAAAAACTATAATTAATTAGTTCTACAGCTGGTTTAAGTCTAATGTAACACGGCAAGTGAATTTTTTATTGAACCTTTACAACAAATTAATTAATATTAACTGTTATCTTAAAATTTAACAGAGAAAGGTCAGCAACAATTCAATAAACTAAAAATTAAATTTATAAATTTAAGAATAAAATACTACTCAAAAATTTTCTAATTAGAAAATAGTTTCTAGCAAGAAAATTATTTCTTACGAAAATAGTTTCTTACTTTCGTCATAATTAACCTCAAATTTAATATGAATAATTTTATTTCTATGAATAGTGAATCCTTTTTTATAAAGTAATGCAAATCAGAGAACTGCAATGAGTTCTCAATACTCGAGTCATACTCGAATTATTAGTTATATTTCACTATTCACATTCTGACTCTCTTTTTCGTATATTTGAACCCACATCATTTATATATACAGTTAACAGCACTTGTAATGATTTATACTCGCCTCAACAAAGAAGTTTTATGGGGCAATTGACTACTTTACAACTTCTAAATTTGCTTAACTGCATTTGCTATGCTTTGCATTTTTAATGAAGGATAATAAAAATATGCAAAAAGTAAAATTTTTAAGTTAATTTATTTTGTTGCAATATGACCACCTCATTTTCGGTTTAGCTTCAGACGATCGACATAATGGTACATTTTAGAGCCAACCTTACTTCTTGAAATACCCCACCCCGATAAATCTAAAGGGTTCCTATCAGGTGAACATGCTGTGTTAATGGAACAAAGCACGGAACGTTGTTTTTCAGCTATTCTTGGTTAACGCATGCTTGGTGCGATGGTGCTGAGTCCTGTTGGAATGTCCAACACCTGCAACCGAAATGCACATCTTCCCAGGGTTTAGTGCTTCCTCTAAAATAATTTTCCAATAGATTTGGGCATTTATTTTTATCCCATAGTCGATGACCACGAGCGGAGAGTGACCATCGGCCGTTACGACGGCCCACACTATCACCATCGATAGCGCCTGCTTCCTGGTGGCAATAAGTATGTTTAAATTTTCAACTGCTCTCTCTACAAGTAGACTCAATCATCTTTCTTGTTTATGTTGTGCTCAATTACGAATGGTGACTCATAAGAAAAAACCAAATTCGGCAACCCCACTACTTTCGCCCAAACGAAGCAACTCTAACTTTTTATAGATTAAGTTCGATCTCATTTACGTAACGTAAACCTCCTTTGTCAGTTCATTTCATTTGAAAGTATCACTGAACAACAACAACAAGTTTTAGAATGTATTTTGTTGTTGCTGGTCCACTACATGGGTAGTGTCCTAATAAATTTTTTGCTATAGTTATAAGAGTGATTATAATACAAGTTATAAAATTTGGTGATTTCAAACATTTAAATTAATGTATATGTCTTTTTTTAGGATTATGCTTTAAGTGCAACGAACGCGTTTTGGGTGAAAATTCAGGATGCACAGCTATGGATCAAATTTATCACATATCCTGCTTTACTTGCACTCAGTGTCAAGCAAATTTACAGGGAAAACCATTTTATGTTTTGGATTTTAAGCCATATTGCGAATATGATTATTTACAAACATTAGAAAAGTGTTCAGTTTGTATGAAACCAATATTAGAACGTATATTGCGTGCAACTGGGAAGCCATACCATCCACAATGTTTTACATGTATAGTGTGTGGTAATAGCTTAGATGGTGTTCCGTTTACTGTAGATGCTACCAATCAAAACTACTGCATTGAAGATTTCCACAGGTATTATATAATATATGAGCCGTATTCACGATTTGGTGCAAATATCTTTGCAGAACTATGCAATTATGTTATTATGCTGTAATCAATTTTTTAGGTTATGTTTGCAATACTATTTAATGAAAAAAAAGCAAAAACAGAATGTAAATAAATTATGGTGCTGCAAGCAAGTAGTAACGTCATATTGAATAGCATATGCATTTGCATATTTATGGTAAAAAAATTTTAAATAGTCGGAGTATGCAAGTGTGTTAATTACACATCTGTGTACTTTGTTTTTGTAAAGTAAAAGTGTGCAGCACTTATTTGCAAATGCAACGATGCCAAATAATTTGCCTCAAATCGTAATTCATTTAATCTATTTTACAAAAAAGCAATTTTATTTTTAAATTTAGAAAATTTGCACCACGTTGTTGTG